AACTCTGCTGGGGGTCTCGAACCAAGATGAAACCCAGGCCTTAAACTACTCGAGATAAAATACAGTTGACGAAGCACTCAGCATGTCGAATTCCTACTACTTACCATGTCATACAAAATCCTACAACTATAGTTTGATTAGACATTCAATTCAAGTGGACATAACATCTTCAAAGAATACATTACTGGGATACAAGATACCCCCCCTCCCCCATTGCGCCTGCCCTCCCAAAGTGGCGTCTCTCGTCCGACTCTCAATAAGCTGATGTTTTTGGAACAAAATTTTAACACATTAGAGGCTCAAAGCTGACTAATTGTATTAAACCTGACAACCAAAAGTTTTCGAAAAAGATCTATCAAAGATGTACAGCCGTGTGATTTCCACCTGACTCATTTTACTCCATCACCAGTAAACTTCCTTGGCAACGGAATGATTTTTTTCATTCCCAGTCCCACTCGGAAGCTGTGGGGCCTCGTAATAAGTCGTTCTCTACGAAATGTTTGAATAAACACAACATAGTTATCGGGTGAGAAGATCCAGTTACCTTCAAGCTCCTTTAGAGCAACCTTTGGTTACACACAAAGACACCGATTCCTTGATTTTGTCTCCGCGATTACTTTTCGTCTAGATCTCAGTTTCTTCATCAAATTTTCTGCAGCGTAGAATTCCATGAGTAAGGTAAGCATAATTTGGATCGTCTTAATCCATTTTACTATTCATGGTTGCATTAAATGCATTAAGCGCTGAACTCTTGCTTAAAGCGAGTACTGCTCTGAAGAGCTCACCAAATTGGTTCCACTTTGATATCATTTGGTGTAATAGGAAAATATTCATCAGCTAAATCATGGCTGAGTGCATTTGTTCGTGACTTGGTTGCAAATGCTCTTCACTCTGGCGTCAATTGTAAATTCATGGTGCCGGCAAAGAGGGGAAACATTTTGGGGGGAGTTGTTGGAAGTCAAGGTTTAGCAAAGGTAAAATCATAGCCACATGTCAATTCATCGTGGACCATCATTTTGAAAAAACATGATTGTTTGCTCGGCCGCCCGCCTCAACCTTGCATTTAAATGGTGCCACTTTTGACCTAGATTAAACATTTTCATTTGAAACATTCTGCATATGCGTCACGAGCGATTGTTCGATCGCTTTTTAGCCACCCCACGTTGCGTGCACCAAACATGATGATGATCGAAAATTTTAGATCGTTTAACTGGGTCAAATAAGTCGTCGAAAGTTATTTGCTGCTCCAAAACATCAGATGTTGAAATATTTATGGCTTGACTTCTGTCTCTTTAGATCTCACGGTCTAAATGTTGATAAATAATATATGATTACTGTGGATCAAGCACAATGTCAGACGATTTCCGAGAAGTGGCCAAAACCTTTCGCTGCTAATTGAAAGATGAATCATTGCTTCAAATCCTTTCAAAGCACATATTTTTAAAGAACTTCACCGCTCTCCATCACGTTTCTCACGCTTCATTGCTATGAATTAACCAAACATCATTTTAAATAATTAACCTTGGTCAGTTCTACCTTTTCTGCATGTTTTAGTGATTTCTACTAAAGAGAGGTAAGAGATCTAAATTTAAAATGGTTCTGATCACCGGCGTTGTTTCGCGAAATATTACTTCGTGTCAGCAAGGCTCACTTCATTTAGGTCGACGAATTGCTTCAGGGGTTTAAAAGCTTATGATTAAGCTCACTTAATTGTACATGATGCCTTCTCCAACAAGTCTGATAAATTCTCAGAAAAAGGGCTTGTTATATTTCCATGTAAAATTGGCGAATAGGACCTGATAATTTCCCTTGTTAGTCTGGCCTTCTCGCTCCATCGTTCAACTCAGTCTCGTTCTGCTCAGACACGTAACTCCTCGGACAAACAGACCACAACCGCCGAAGCACTTCGACACTTTTAAGGGCAGGAAGGGACAGGTAATGATAATTTTTACACCGTGCACAGCACAAAATCCTGTATGATAACGAAAAGCTCGAAAAAAAACCGTTGCCTACCAAAACAAGTGCCTTTGGGTTGAGTTTTAAAATATATGCGTCTAACTTTCAAGGTTAACCAAATTTCAATTCATTTTGGTTTCAGGTTTCGATCTTTTCGGTTTCCTGTTTTCCGGGTATCTGACCTTTGGGAAGGCTTATCGGGTTTTTCATCATTTTAGAGAGAGGGAAAAAAGTAAAGTAAATAAATATATCTTCGATCTTTCTGAATTTTAATGGTGATAACAAGGCTAATCAGTTGAACGGTATACTTTTTTCTCTAAAGAGAACTTTATTTCGGAAGCTGTGGTGGCTTTTCTACAAGAAATGTTTTTATGTGGGTGATCTCTGAATGATCCGCAGCGGTCTTAAATTGCTTTTTGAAATTGTCGTTTATTTTGACAAACAACACATTACATATCCGCATGTGAATACGAATTTGTCTTCTCGAGGAGATTATGTCTTTTACTCGTTCGCTGTAAATTGTGAGGGAAATTATCAACACTCGAGAATGAAATTCTTACCCCGTGGCCATGGGACATCCTGGATTATTATACAGTTAGTAGTGCCTGTGGGCAATATAAGGCAAGTCCTGTGTTCTTATCGGCCACCCGAGTGGGCAAGATGGGCCCATCTTGCCCGCTCGGGACTGCCCACTTTGATCCCGCGCAAGTAATAAATTGCATGGAGTGGACTTCTTATCTTCTCTGAAAATTTCGGTGATGGAGTCGCATAAAAAAGTAGAACACATGCACTGAACAAACAGAACATTAAATGCCTCTCGTTGGTTTATTGTGCTTAAAATGCTGTTCGATTTCTTTCCCGGCTCTCGAAATATACAATTCAATTCATCCTTTATTTTTACCATGTCGCAATCTTTTTGCTATGTACTACCTATTTTATTGACCAGGCTTGTTCGGTCAAGGTGGCTGGATATTAGCCTCGTTCTTTTTCTG